CCTCGAATATGTTGTGTTAATGTTATGAAATGTTTTCTCATAAATGATGTGGTAAGCAGGAGGACAGAATTACGTCTAAACTGACGCCGTTTTTAATCGTGTTTTATGCCGTTTGCCAAGACTTGATAAGTCGCTCGTAAAACACAGGAGGTATGGAAACTAAGAACACCATATGTGGTAAATTCTACAGCTAATATAACACAACACATTAGTTGTGTGTCGTTGTATTTCCTTTAACTGGTGGATATAGAGTTGCCGCCGGGGGGGTGGTTGAGATGCAAAGGCTGCAGTGGAGACGCTGCGCACAGCTGATCGACAGCTGGGACACTCCGGAGGGATTCCCCGATCATTTCTTACAGTTTCTCATCAAGGGGGTGTCTCCTGTCCCCGGTACAAACACACTGCCTGTGGAGGCTATATGTATTTATTTTGTCATTAACCCTTTTCGGACTATTTATTTATTTTGGTGACGATCGGACCTCCATGCTGCTACTCTGGTTCAAACTGCATCTACCAAACAATATGATTTATCTCGACCTCCCCAAAATAACCAAAATCTGACACGGTGTGAGATGTCTTTTTTAGCTGTTCTGTCGTAATTTCCTGCTATCTTCTTAATAAAGTCAGTCAAAATGAATGAATGAATGGGCGTTTCTTTGACTATTTATAGGCAAATATGGGCGTTACGTGAAGCCCGCAAAAGCTGCACCGCATTTCGAGTGATTTATGAAGGGAAACCGGCGTAGGAAGTGCTGTACGCACTTTCCTCGCCGGTACGCAATGTTTGGTGAATCGGAAAATGTCAGAACATTTCTGTACCTATTTTGGATTTCTACTACGTAAGCAACCTTCCCACGTGAATCCTACGCACGGCGTTATAAATGAGGCCCCTGTTTACAGGGGGTGGTTCAACTTACCCACTGACTTAACTTACCCCCTTCTCCCGTAAGTCTTATTTAATGGTTGGATACAATGCAAATCATTAATTACAATTTGAAAAGTTACAAAAGGTATTGAATACATTTAGTGGAGTAGGAGTACACCATGTACCTCATTGTAGTGGGGCAGAAGTACAAAGTAGTACAACATTTAAATACTCAAGTCACTCAAAATTGTTCTTTAGTACAGTACTTCAATAAATGTACTTAATTACTTTACACCACTGTTCATGACGAAGACTTTCTCTTTTTATCATAGACATTTGTCGTGATGTATTGTAGTCGAATCTTTCCTGTGCTCACTTTAACAAGTGTTGCTTCTTTAAATTCCCATGATGTCAATAGCCTCTTTTCTTATGACACTAAGGAGCCAATCACATTTACTTGAGTGCAATTTGATGTAATTGAGTGTTTCCATGATATGGTTCTTTGTACTTCTATTTCACTACATTTCAAAATGGAAATATTGCACTTTTTACTCCACCTCTATTTATTTCATAACTTAAGTTACTTTCAAAAAATTGATTATTGATACAAATCATACATAAACTAATAGATTGTGAGGTATTATTATGAAGGACATTCCCTGTTAGTAGGTTTCTCAAATAAGCTCTTTTATTAACTGCAACACTAAAGTGATGAACACATAATTGAATCAACATTATATTTCATAACTTTATTTTGATGCTATGCTATTTTAACAAAAAGTAAGATTTTGAATGGACTTGGCACTCTTGAATTGTATATAGGAACAACAAATTATTATATGGCTGACCAGTCAACCGGAGAGTCACTTACAGGTAGGGGCGCCGCCAGGGATTTTGGGCCCCATGAAAAGATATCACATTTGGTTACTTGAACATGTTTTTCTTAATGTTCTAAAATTGTTTGGGCCCCTGTCAGTCACGGGCCCTTGGAATCGTCCTAACTTTTCACCCCCTTACGCGCCCTTACTGCGCCCCTGCTTACAGGACATTTGGTGGTGGCCATTGCTGTGGAGAAACCTCTGAAGTTGGGCCGGATTTCTTCCAGATCTTCACAACACTGGGTCAATATCACTATAAAGTAACTTTGGTGTCCCCATCAGAATCACTCAGTTATGAAAATGTAGCAGAATAATGAAACTCTGAGGTCTTATTATAAAAGGTCAAACATGTACACACATATCAGTACAATGATAAGTCTCTTGAAATGTGTTTCCTTCCTTTTATACCTTATTTTTTCATTGGATGTACGTGATTTTGGCATGTCCCACTAAGTACAGTGTGTGTAATAAGTGGTTAAATTATACTACATTTAAAAAAAAAAATTCTATGGTTTTATTGTCCACAACGAGTTATTTGATAAAACGAGTCATTTTGATCATGTATATTCTATTTGATAATAATATTGAAAATGTTTCATGTGTCCCTGACATTTGCTGTCCACCCTGTCATTAAGGGGTAACTGCCCCATAAAAAAACCCTCTGATGTTTTCAGTGACATTACTACCACCATTTTGTCTTTCCTCAATGGAGGCTGAGACATTGGCTAGTTGCAAAGTAAGTTTTTTAACTTATATTTCGAAATTGTAATCATATTATATGTGTAGTTGGATGTTGTCAAGCTTAACATGTCCACTCTGTCATAGTGAAATGTCAATTAATATAAAAACCTTTCAGAAATTCGAAATATATTTATAAACAGTACACAGTCACCTTGCTAACTGAATCATGTTGCTAACTGAAGGTCCACCATGTGCTCATACCAAATGCTAATATTAGCCAAAAATGTCACCCTGTCATTGTCCACCCTGTCAGGTTAAATTATGGCAAACTATTTGTACCATTGTCCACCCTGACAGCAATACTTCCCATGACAGGGTGGACATGGTACAAATAGTTTGCCATACTTTCATTATTATCCAAAAACTTTTTCCATTAACTGAAATATATTCGAGAAAGGGACTATAGCTTTCTGAAAATGTACATTTTATAATCACTATGTAATTACAATGTATTTACTCTTTGAATGTTGTCCATGACAGGGTGGATACATTTTGCTGTTTGCATGTACTTGCAGTTAATTTATAAAAAGTGTGGGAGCTTGACCAACATCCATTTCTAACAGCATAACGTACTTAATACAATGAATATGAAGTTTAATGGAAAATCTCAGATTTGTTTGTGGAAATGGGGAAGTCTCAAATGTACCGTATGGTGATATTGACTCCACTATGTTAACACTTATTTAACTTTCAAAAAATCAACAGAGTCAAAAGAGTTCCAATAGAATAGAGTTTATTGAAGATTCAACAGAGTTCAGCCAACACGAGTCGGTCCATTGAGTGACTGCCTTTACAGTGTTCAGGCTTCTTCTTATATTCATTTCTTAGCAGTTGTTATGCCTTTCTTATGAGGGTCTTAGGTACCAGACACCATGAGGGTCTCAGGGCAGGCCCTCCTTCTTCACCTTGACTTTCTCTACCATTGTTGCACCATCCTGAATTCCTTTAGTCAATCGTACTTTATTTGATATTTCGGCCTAGATCATTTTTAATGGTGTTTTTGACCATGCTATATCTTTACTTGCCAACTCCCTAAACAGGTGCAAGGATTCCCATAATGAGAACATTCCACAGATGAACAGTATGCGTTTCTGAGCATATGCTTTCAATTATTAGGGTTGTTATAATATGTCCCATACACACAAAAAAATATATCCCACACCCAGGGACACGGAATCTTTTGAGCCAAACAGCATGGATTGACATAGTGTGTTTTGGCCAACCAGAGGACTGTTTGAAAAATTAAAACCGTTAGGCTTTACTGCTCCTAATCTGACATTACGGAAGAAAAATGAAATACCTCAAGGATGCAGAAGTAACCTGTTTAAATAATAGGCTGCTGTGAAGTTATCAAAGTGACAATCTATGTAACAATTATTATTTAGCTCAAAGCTTCCTCTTTTCAGTTTGACAGCAGCTGTTCCCGAACCAGTAGTGGAAGCAGATGATGAACCATAATTGCACAAACAAACAAACAAACGGTAATGACCCTATGGGTGCTGTACTTCGCTGTAAGTCTATATCATACAGACTGTTGGATGCTTTACATCAGAGTATAAGGTTGCATTACATTAGCATTATAATAGGTTTATGTGATTTTAATGCGGTCTCAAGAGAAAGGGTGTTGTATGCTTTGCAGATTTGAAACCCCTCTAAGGCAAACATGTGTTGTTTTTTATAATATTGGGCTATATAAATAAAACTTGATTGATTGATAGTTCAATTGTAATTTGTCAAATGCCATCCACTGCCCTTCAGGCATTGGTGCCTCATTTAAAGACATCTGAATGTTAGATTGCATGAGGGGCCCCTGTCCCCTCTGTGCTGCACTGGGTCCCCTGATGGGAGGTTGATATTAGCAGGTGGAGGAAGGGTAACAGCCTAAAATGGCCACCACTACCATGCTCACCATCACTAGCTCCATCATCATCATCATTATCAGCAGCAGCAGCAGCACCACCTCAGAAGCCCATCCCCTAGCGTCCGTCCAGGGAATGAAGCCCGTATGCGCATGGGCGGAGATACTGCCGCTGTGCGCTGTTATTATTGTAAGAGTAATTTCTTTTTTACGAAAATGGCGTCTAGTCAGGGAGGTGTGGGAGCTGTCACGGCTCTTCAAAGCCATCACTACTCCAGCGGACCTCCTTGGACCCCGGGCTTCAGCCAGTACCAGCACCAACAGCAGCACCACACGGCCCGCAGCCTGGACCGGGCTCTGGAGGATGCCGTGTGCTCCGGGATACTCAACCTGAGCGGCAGGAAGCTGAGGGAGTACCCGGGGATGAGCCAGGATCTGACCGACACAACACAAGCAGGTGGGTTGCTGTGCAGGCATGGACTACAAGAACCCAAGAGTCAATGTGCTTCATGATATAAAAATGTGCCCACTCACACATTTGATGTCTTTGTGTATGCAGCATGCACGCATTGTCCGTGGCTTTTCGTGATTTTCTGGATAGAGGCGCAGTAACGTGGAGGTGACAATATTTAAAGGGATACCGTCCGCTGGAAATAATACACTATACATCCTGGTTGTAATTACTGTCCACTTAGGGTCATGTATGACACCAGTTTATTGCACAAGGGGCTCGGCTGCTGCTGTGTGGTTGTTTTGGTCGACGCTTACGGCTTTTAGTACCCCCCCCCCCCCTCCTGGGACACATGAATGAGACGCACCCAGGCGCTGTGTGTGCAGTGGTTTGTACACCGAGCTGCATTGGATCTGGCACCGGGCTACTGGAGCAGAATATGAATGAACCTATAGGGCAGTTGTAAATTCGTGCGCACCGATTATCATTTGGAGTAAGCATGTGAGAAACGTAGGGGGCCCTCATGCTTCTTCATCTTTCGTTTTCGTTTTTTTTCATTTTCGGCACTACCAGACAAAAGATGCATGCAGTGTACTTGCAGCCTCACCCCCCTGCCTGCCTGGGTGTATATGCCCATAAAGCAAGATCTGCTAGGGAGGAAGCCCTTGTCTGCTTTTGGTTTCATTAAGTAGTACGCACCTAGATATTATTCAGTTGTTCTTTGGTTTAGTATTTTATGTCCACAAGAAGGAAGTATATTAATGTATCATATAGTCAGGTCAGTCAGCAGGTCAGTATTAGTCTCATGTTTTCTGTTTGCTGTGCTATCACAGCATTTCTAATGCAGACTATATTAGACATGGTGATTTAATAAAGGGATTATCTAATTTACACATGAAGGATGACACAATAGACTATACTGATAAGATTGTGTTAGAAGAAACCCCTGTGAAGGAGATTATTTAATGTATTTCTATATGATATACATCATATAAAGGCTGATTAAATGAATGTTATTGACAATGAAATATAAATCATTCTAATTCATGATAATGGACATATACATTATGCTGCCTCCTCTCAGAGGTACCATATGGTGTCACTCCGTCATGTGCAGCTCATGGCAAGCTGCAGCTCATGGCAAGCTGCAGTTTGCTGGAGAGCCCCTTACCCCCCAGGGATTTACATTTTCTGCCATACAACTTTGGTATCTCTTCATATACTGACAGCTTGTTGCTAACCGTTCGACTGACAGATTTAAACACATGCATGGGAGGCTGTGGCTCAGTGGATAGTGTGATGGACTTTGAATCAGGGGATAGCAAGTTTGAGTCCTACTACAGTCAGCATGTCGTTGTGTCTCTGGGCAAGACACTTCACCCCACATTGCTCCTGTGGGGATTGCCCACAGTACTCAATGTATGTTAGTCGCTTTGGATAAAAGCGTCTAACAAATGACATGTAATGCATGGAATTAAAGTTTAATTGAAAATTCAATTTATAGTCTATATTCCTTCAAAAAATGATGGCTCCATTGAGACAAATCATGGATCCACTGGATGGGCGTTTTTTTAGGCCAGGCACCTTTATGTATAGAGCTTATTGCATTTTTACGAATCTCAAAATGCTTCACATTTAAAAGAAAGACAAAAAAGAAGAAAGAGGCATGCAAAACATATCAGGCATATGCAGCACAGTGGTATCAATGAAGAACATGGAAATAAAGACTATTTAAATACACCCAATACCTGCACACACATTTAAACACAATAAATACATACTTACTTATAGACACAGGGTTTGCTCACACACTGACACCTTTCATAGGCCTGAGAAAACAGGGTGTTTTTATAGACCGCAGCTTATCAGGCTTCCCCCTCATTAGGTTGAACAATTTGGACTTGAATGCAGGATGCTGCTTTTCTATGTCAGTGATCTGTTATTTTAAATGACCTGTGCCTAAAAAGTGTGAAAATCCTGACGAGATGCCATAGATATTATGCACAGGCGTCCTTAAAGAGGAGACGGACACAACAGGAAGTTCAGTTAGTCAGCACTATTTCTGGACTCCTGGGCTGACTGTACACACAATATCCCTTAATAACGATCATCTTGTCTAGATCTAAATCAGGACTGTCCAAATGTATCAAGAGAGTTGCATATAGGATTTCCAAATAACTGCTGAGTGCATTTATATAACACTTGATAGCAGTCACAACAGATATGAGTGTACATGTCTGTCACACCTTTGTTGTCTTGCTTGCAACCCGTCACTGCTGCAGTCTTTTCACTTTTTTTTTCACTTCTTCATTTCGATGCCTTGACTGTAAGGTGTGCCAGAGGGAAGTCTCACTTTGAAATGTGCTAACAGAGATAAACACCTCACTGCAGCAACATCCTTTACACCATCTCCAATCTGTGCTGTGAATAGAACAGCTTGAAGACGCTGCTTACAGCCTTAACACTTTACTCGATAGATCAGCTTGTGATTGAAAAACAAGCTCATTTGAATACACTTTTGAGGAGTGACATGTACTGTTTCCTCTGAGAATTATAATGATAGGATGTCTTTGGACCATGGCAATATAAAGGCGAATGTGCTTGGAATATTAAAGTCCAAACTATTCCTTGCATCCAAGCATTAATTCGGTATTATTATAATTTCAACCTCATCCCTTTGCTGTGTTAGGATGTTTTCGTTTCCTTTATAGAATAGGGTCTAACCGAGTGAGTGGCCTCCATCTGACTAATGAGCAGCAGAAGGCCCCAGTGTGTGTAGACAGAGGAAGAGAGAGGCTCACACAGGGGTGTCTGTTTGCAGTGTACTCCTGGCAGTTTGTCTCCACTCAGCTTGTTTTCCCATGGGAGAGAGCTCCGATCTGCTGCCCTGATCTTGGAGCAGGGCTGAGGAGCAGTGCACCAACCTGGGCAGATGCTCAGGTTCATTTCCCAGCATGCCCCTGCCTGTCATTAGACGGCCCCCCAGGCTACACACACGTCAGACAGTGAGGGGCTTCGGTTGCGGTTGTTTTTTAGGTGCATTCAACAACTTTTTCTATTGTCGTTTCCTTTCTCGAAGGAATATTTGTTTGGTCTAAAATGGTTTAAAAAAAAGTTAGACCAATATGATTGTCTTTTTTCCCAATTCAAAATTCAAATATATTACTTTTACTTTGACAAAGGAGTAAAGAAAATAGATACAATTCATATTGAAGTAGCAGAAATTAGAGAAGTTTTACCTTTGCTTCTTTAAAAATGACTTGGAGTAGACTTGAAGCAAACAGTATGTCTCCAAGAATGCTTCTTTGTTTACATTCCTGAGAAGTTTAGTTGTGAAGGACAGTCTCCATGAGGACACAAAAGGATCGTGCTGTTATTCTTGGATTTAATAATCAACCAGTGTAAATACTGCTGAGCGTCACGGCTCGTTAAAGTAAAAGCACATGACAGACACTCGGTCAAAATGCTATTAGACCCAAGGCAAATAAAAACACAGCAGAGCACTTCACTGTGCTACTCATTGTTTGTGCTCAGAAATATCTTAGGCGTCTTATTAAAGGCTTCCCTGTCCTTCCTCTTATCATGGCTGTTTATTTATTGAGGGAGGCTACTTTAAAGAGCTGTCTCCAAAGCTAACTAGTTTTTGCTTGATCATAGTAATATAAGAAAAAAAACACATTCCAAACTGGTCAGGGCTTCGTCTAGATGTGCCTTTGCATGTCTAGACAAGAAATGTGCATACCTGTCTGCAGGAACACAATTCCTTATCACCCAAATGACGCCACTGTTAAATATTTAAATAGTAAAGCTAAATGACCAACATTTAAATAACGATTGTGATTTTTTTATTATGCACACACTGTACGTCTGTTTTCATCAATGAAATAGTTGAGAAAGGCTTATCAGGAAATGCTAACTGGAGATTATTAAATATTAACTGGAATAGTACGATTAGCCCACTGTACCTTACATAACTTTAGTAAATGAGGCCAATATGTAATGCAAAGTCCAGTTAAAATATGTTTTTTTTTGTGTTCTACTTAATTTTAGGGCTGCAGCATGTGATTATTTAAATTATTGATCCATCTATGAATTAACTACTATTTTTAATTAGTTAGACAATGTTTTAGTATATATTTTGCCAAAAAATAAGCATAATTCATTACATATACATCTCAAAATGCAAAAAATCGAAGACAAAACGGTTTCACCCTGCAAATTAGAGAAGTAAAAACCAACAAATGCCCAATCATAATCTTTAAATGAAGCCTGCAAAAAAATTAAGAAACTATTGTGTCATTAATTGCAGATTGTGCTTTTGTTTATTTTAATAAGACCGTAGGCTTAGAGCATGCTTCGGTTTGATCCGAAGGTGGCAGTGACACCTCCTCCGTGAGAATCAGCCAGGGGTCAAGTGTACAGTCATGACTTCTGTTTCCTCATATATAATGCAAAATATGGGTACATTTTTTTATTTCATTCCACTCAGTATATACTTTATTCATGACCGTTTGTAGTTTCACCAGAGAAGATATAAACACCAAGACTGTGACCCATAAATTATGGATTATGTGTGTATCACCTCCTTGGACCAAAGCATCAAAAATAAATCAAGCATTATGTGAGCATTCATATTTTATATCTTAAGTGCTTATAATAATGTGTCTGGCTATGTTTATTGTGTATATACAGTATGTTGTCGGTTTGGGGTTGCTGAACGTCAAGGGTTGAAGCGTAGAAGAACTGGTAGGGGAAGTGTAGACTGTGTGACTGTAATGCAATGACCACGTTGCTGCCTGCGTGTGTGTAGTAAAAGTGAAATGTCCCAAATGAAGCACCAACAGACAACCCCCACAAATAAACCGTGCAAATACAGCTGCTTGCCCCCCGCCAAACATCACACACACACAACAGTTTAACCACTCCATCACCATCCGCCATCACCATCCACCTGTCAGTGATTCAGCAAAATTCCTGAGCCATCCTGGACACCAGCTTCAGTTGTT